TTTCTCATCTTTTTAATGCTTATTCTAGACATAATCTGGACAAATTAACTGAAGCCTTTACTATCCTCCTTAATAAGTCCTCAGTAAATGCCAACTGTTACCATAACACAACAACAAAAAATGGAACTAGGTAGAAAATTAATGATAATAAATATTTTTAAACACCAAGATAATGTCAAAAGTGTCAACGATAAGCTTACACATTTTTCATACACTGAAAAGCACAAAAGCAGGAGGGATGGGTGGTAAAAAGAAGCAAAAAAAAAAAAAAAAAATGAAACTGACCTACTTTGCCTCCATTCTTGGGTAAGACCAACCTCTTCTTTCCCTTACTCTCTTCTTCCATAAGAAAGACAGAGACCTGAGGCTAGCAACATGGCATATCAGGCTAATCCTCTGCATTCCGTGTCAGAATCCCTTATGGATGCTGGTTCGATGCCTGGCTGCCCCACTTCCAATACAGCTCCCTGCTTATAACCTAGGAAAGCAGTGGAGGATGGCTCAAGTCCTTAGGCCTCTGCACCCATGTGGGAGACCCAGAAAGAAGATCCTGGCTCCTGGCTTTTCACCTCAGTTCCTCCTGTTGCAGCCACTTTGGGAGTGAATCATTATATGGAAAACCTCATCTCTTTCCTTTTAATTATTTTTAAAAAGAGATTAATGAGGAGATGAGATAAACTGGGCTGAACCAGTAGACTGAGTTGAGCCAGGACAGGCTGACCATTTACTCTCTAAACTAGACGGATATGAAATCCCAAATCCAGGCTGGCACTGTAGGTCAGCAGCAAAGGTCATCACTTTCAATGCTGGCATCCCATCCACACAGAGAGTGCCAATTCAAGTTCCAGCTGTTCCACTTCCAGTGCAATTTCCTGCTACTGTAGCTGGGAAAGCAATGGAACATGACCCAAGAATTTAGGCTCCTTCCACCCCCATGGAAGACCAAGATGGAGTTCTTGACTTTGCAATAAAAACAAATAAATCTTTTTTAAAAAAAATGGTCATAGGCAAAAGCTTAAACACAAATACCCACGGCCAACACTGTGGTACAATTAACCCACTGTTTTGTATGCTGCCATCCAATATCCAGTGGGGTTCAAGTCCCAACTGCTCTTTTTTTTTTTTTTTTAAGATTTATTTTAATTGGAAAGCCAGATTTACAGAGAAGAAGATATAGAGAAAGATCTTCCATCCACTGATTCATTCTCCAAATGGCTGCAACAGCTGCAGCTGAGCTGATCCAAAGCCAGGAGCCAGGAGCGTCTTCTGGGTCTCCCACACGGGTACAGGGCCCCAGGGCCTTGAGCTGTCCTTGACTGCTTTCTCAGGTCACAAGCAGGGAACCGGATGGGATGTATAGCAGCTTGAATACAAATCAGTGCCCATATGGGACTCCGGTGTATGTAAGGTAAGGACTTTAGCCACTAGGCCATCGCGCCAGGCCCTCAACTGCTCTGCTTCTGATCCAGCTTCCTACTAATGTGCCTGGGAAGGCAGTGGAAGATCACCAAGTACGTGAGCTCCTGCCATCCTTATAGGACAGCCTGGTGGAGTTCTTGGCTCCTGGTGTTTGGTCTGGCCCAGCCATGGCTGTTGTAGCATCTGGCAAATGAACCAACGGTCAAAAATTTCTCTTTCTCTTTCCATATGTGTATGTGTGTCCTTCTCTTTCTCTGTCACTCTTCCTGTCAAGCAAATAATCTTTTCAAAAAGCGGAAACTATGGAGGAATCCACCATGGGGGAGAGGGTTGTGGCAGGGTGGTGGGAATCCCAGTACCTGTAAAGCTGTGTCATATAATACAAAGTTATTTAAAAAATAATAATAATAAATAAATAATAAATAAAAAGCTGAAACTAGTCTTTCCTCTGTTCTTCTCACAGTCTTTCTCTCTTTCCCTCAACCCTTCCTCTTGCTCTTTCCCTTTAGTATAATGTTGAATGTAAGCACACATTCTCTAATCTCCCATACATTAATAATTGGACATTCATTTACGCAGAGACCTATGTTGTACCTAGTAATATACTAGAAGACAGAGTGAAGTGAGAGACACATGTTCCCTATCCTCAAAGGGTTTCAATCTAGTGTGGATGTAGGTTACTCAATCAGCAAATGCAATCTGTTTACAAAGCAAATGCACAGCATGAACTTTTCTCTGTCCATTGAAAAAAAATTAAGTTATTTAAATGGTATACAGGTGATTTAGAATGCTAACTGCCTCCTGGAAACAAAATTAGGCTGTTTTTACAGCCAAAAGGCTCCTGATAATTTTTTTATTATGGTTCCAGATTGGGGTAAAAATGAAATAGAGGCATAGAAATAAATCAATTATAATATTTTGTCTCTACATGGTAACAGAAAAACATGCACAATCTTGAAACAATTCAAATATACTTTGTAGAAATAAAATCGTCCCTAGCTATAGCAACTGCCTAGGTTAGTTTGTATTTAAACAAATGTTACACTGCTGGGAGAAAAGCAGCCAGTAGCTGGGAGGCATTCTGGGCTAGGTTAATGCTAAATTTGTGTTACTATACCAGTGTGCCAGAATACTTGCTTAACTTTTTTTTTTTTAAGTTAAGTGTGTTAGGCGGGGAACTGCAAGTGGGGACATGCCACCCCGGCCTCCAGATTGAGGGGGGAGGGGCGAGTGCCGCAGATTGCCCAGGGAAGGGGGTCTGGGGACATACTGGAGCATGAATAGCTGAGAGCAAGTGTGACACGGAAGGAATGATTTCTGGGGTCTTCCACTGACAAGGTCACTGCACTCACAGGTAAGCCAGGGAGCTAAGACGGAGAGTTTACATAGGACAAGGTGGGCAGGGGGAACTGGAGGGCATGTCTGTCTGGTCAGGCCAAAGTGCCTACCCACATGAAACACCTGGGCTGGGCTAAATAGCATCACCTGCCACCTGATGAGGGATGTAAAAGCTGGGACTGAGGGGCACAGTATCCATCTGCAAGTGTTAGAGTGCAGAGTAAACCACATCAGTGGGACCGCAGCACCTACAAGCCCACGAGGAAACAGGATCTGGAGGGTAGATTCTACAGGGGACTTGTGGGCTCACCTCTGTGCTATTACAGAGTCAAGTCTGAGGTCACCCCAGGCAAGATTCCTTGGGGTACTCCCCGACTGGACTGCTGACTCACACCCTGGTCAGGGAAAATCAGAGGATGTGTGGTCCAACCTTGGAGTGCATGAATTGGGACTGGACCTCCTCAGTTGCTGATGCCTCTGCAGTGGCCAGCACGCCCAGATGCACATGGAGGAACGGGGGGGGGGGGGGGGGGACACCACATATGATAGCCAGCTCGTCTAGGCCAGCAGGAGACACTGAGTGCCTCATCAGAAGATGGAAAGTTCTCCTGGCCAACCTTTGCAGCATGTTCCTGGGTCTGTGGATGCACTAAGGTAGATTTTGTCAACCCTGGATCAACGAAACCAACAACTTCTTAGAACTATTGAAACCACTCAAGTCACACTCTCGAACACTCTTCCCACATCAGAGTCTCTTGGGTGTCATCAAATGACCATCCCCCATCCCGGGTGCTGATGTAGTCTGTCAGCAAGCAGCAGCCCTCCTCCCTTTCCTCCCTTGCAGACACAGGAAGGGAAACAAAAATTAAAACATTTGGCCCCCGCCTTCCTCCATTCATGATCCTCACCATCCTAATCAGAAGCCCACATGAGCACACATCCCTCTCAACTGTGTCAACAATATTTTAAAAAGATTTAAAATTTTTTTAAGAACTAAAATGTTAAGTTACTCTTTATCTCAATTTTAAACACATCCTAAAGGGAAAACTAAATCTTAAATTTCTCCCACTTCAAGTTCTAGTCCCTGATTTTCAGTTAGCCTTTCTCAGAATTACTTATTTCAGGTCATTTGACTTTTTTCTTTTTCTTTTAATAAGTCTAGTGACAACTGAGCAATTTCACATGAGAAATGCAATCGTTACAAAAAAAAAAGTCTATGAGGAAATAAAACATTGATGTGCTTAAATAAGAAAACCGAGGGCTGGTAATAAGAGGAACTCTCAAGACACTTAATGACTAAGTAGTTAAAAAATACTTTTAAGTAGCTAAAAAAGTAAAAGGCCACCTGTAATCATACTAAAGTTAAACAAACTTGGAGATGATTCACATTTTTCAATATAATTTTATTTCCTAAGGAATACATGCGTGATACCTTTAGGATAACCTGTTTCTGTCATTTTAGGGCTGAGCATACAGCATATGTCTCAATAAATGTTAGCGCTTGTTAACATAATCATAAATTGTACCAAAAAATAGTCTATTGTGCACTTATGAATAGCTTTCTGAAACAACCACAACAGATCCCCAATAAGACACAGACTTCTCTAATGAATTATGGGATACAAATTAAGACAGATATATAATATATTAGAGGAAGATTATTTTCTTTTGCAAGTAATTATCAGACTTAAAGCTCTGCCATGGCAAATTACTGAAAGTTCTATGAACGGTTATCATAGCCTACAAATCTCGGGAAAAATTCCATGCTTTGTGAGAGACGTGTATGTTCCTGCCAATATCCAACTCTTCTTTTCCTCCTCAATAACAAAAGCCCATTTTTTTTTCCAGGGTAACCATGCATCTAGCCGCATTTCCCTGTTTCCTTGTAGCCAGGGATTTGCTTCAGGAAGTCTTCTTAATAAGAGAGGTTATGGCTTTTGTTTGTTTTTGCTTTGCTGCCTGGAACTTGCCTGTGATAGTTAGAGCTCTCGTAGATACCTTGTACTGTAAGAACCAGGATTGTACCTTTAGGAATAGCAGATCAAAGAACAGGAAGAAGCTTATGGAGCCACTACACCTGTCCTTGACAGCCTCCTTCAAGAACTCTTACATGAAAAAAATAAGTAAGTGTGTAAATAACCATTGAGTCTGTTTTTGCTTTTTTCCTTCCTGTGCCTTGTCACTGGTGGTAGAAGTTTGTTAGTTTTCTCCCAAACAAATGTGATTCTTAACTGAGTTCTTACCTTCAGACACGCACAGAATTGTTATCTCCTTTTCACAGATGAGGCAACTGAGATCCAGAGAGGTAAGATGACTTGCACAAGATGAAATCAGCAATGAGGAGGCTGCTAGTCCAATGTCTGTTCCTTAGAAACTGACTCTTAATAAGTTCTGAGTAGGGAAAAAAAAAGATAAAAATAAATGTAGCCTTAGAAGAATGATAATGTGATACAACAGTGCAAACATTTATCACAAAGTATGTCAAGAAACAGTACCAAAATTTCATGATGTGCAAGTAGACCAACATAGATTAGATTCCAGTGGGAAGGAGAGATTTAGAAAATACAGTCATAGAAGAGAATAATCAGACGGATTTACTATAACCAAGTTTTACCATACTTTAACTCTTAAATAATCAAGAAGTAAACATTAAAGGCTTATTTTTATCAGCAATGAGATTTCAAAATTTAGGGTAATCTTTCTTGTTAAATCTATAACTAGCATCTTTCTTCATTCTCATCACCACTTAAAAAATTAATCTTGGTCCCAGTTTGACACAAAAATCAATAAGACAAAATGTAAGTTCTTTTATGAACTCCACCACCTAACTGTAAAATAGACAACTAGCCTACATGCAAACTTATTAGTAAGCATAATCAATTACTTCTAAGCAGTTTGTAAATTATTTTTTTTAAAGATTTATTTTTATTTTTATTGGAAAGGCAGATATACAGAGAGGAGAGACAGAGAGGAAGATCTTCCGTCCGATGATTCACTCCCCAAGTGAGCGCAACAGCTGATGCTATGCCGATCCAAAGCCAGGAGCCTCTTCCAGGTCTCCCGCGCGGGTGCAAGGTCCCAAAGCCTTACAAGCAGGGAGCTGGATGGGAAGCAGGGCCGCCGGGATTAGAACTGGCACCCATATGGGATCCCGGGCGCGTTCAAGGCGAGGACCTTAACCACTGCACCACCGCGCTGGGCCCACAGTTTGTAAATTAAAGTTAATGTTCTCTGGGATAGAGGTTCGGCACAGCAGTGAAGCTGCCATTTGAGAAGCCTCCATCCCATATTGGAGTCCCAAGCCTTCATTCCATTTCCAATCTACCTTTCTGCACACCCTAAGAGGCAGCACATGAAGGCTCAAGTGCTTGGGTCCCTGCACCCATGAAAGAGACCCAGATGGAGATTCAGACTCATAACTTCGGTCTGTTCTAGCCCAAGCTATTAAAATCACTTGGGGAGGGGCTGGTGTAGTGAGTTAATTCTCCACTCAGTGGCACTGGGATCCCATATAGGTACCTGTTCAACTCCCAGCTGCTCTACTTCCCATCCAGCTCCTTGCTTGTGACCTGGGAAAGCAGTCGAAGACGGCCCAAGGCCTTGGGATCCTGCACCTGTGTGGGAAACCTGAAAGAGGCTCCTGGCTACTGGCTTCGGATCAGCACAGCTCCGGCCATTGTGGCCGCTTGGGGAGTAAATCAACAGATGGAAGATCTTCCTTTCTGTCTCTCCTCTCTGTATATCTGACTTTGCAATGAAAATACATAAATCTTCAAATAAATACATAAATAAAATTACTTGGGAAATGGACCAGCAGATGGGGAACTCCTCTCCCCCCATTTTTTAAATAAGTTAACAATGTAGTATTTACAAATTTTAAAAACTTACATGTTCATTTTTAGATACTATATTCAACAAAGTCATGTATGCAGAAGAAATGATCATATATACAATTTATTTTGGAAAGGTATATGACTTGTAAACACAGTACAGTTGAAAAAAATCAGCTGCAGATTTTCCCTTTTACTCACAAACTGCTTACTTCTCTGGGTCTTGAGTTTCCTTCCCATAAGATCTGAATTATTACTTCTTCACAGGTCAGAACTAAAGAGGTGCCCAAAGCAACTTGCACAATGTAAGACAATAATAAAAACTCAGAAACAGCAATGTCCTTATTCTGAACATGAACTACATACACACACACACATATATAAAAATCTGTTCTAGAAACAAAGTTATAGATCTTGAAAAGCAAGACTAATTTTGAAAGTCTTTATGGTAGTTCTCCCGTGATCACCGTGGGCAAGGCCTTGAGGAAGCCAGAGGCCAATGAAGTGAGCACTTCTAATAAGACAGGAACACATCTTCCCCTCAGCCATCAAAGCTCAGCTGCGGCAAGAGAGCTGGGATTCCTTCCCTAAGGCATTACCCTAAACCAGAGAATTGGGTTGCTTTTCCTTATTGTCAGTATCATAATTCTGATGGCAAAAAGAGAAAAATAAATGGCTTCTGAATTTCTCAAAGACAGCACTACAGAAGCGACAGGTAACCTGGTGCCCAACTCCATGTTTCCCTTTGCAAATAAAAGTCAATGGGGATGTGAGGTTCAAAACAAAATATCAGGTACGCAACCAACTGAGCTTGGCTCCAACCTGTCCAGTGGAAGCCTGAGTATTGTACTTAGCATCTTTGATGTCCACATCACTAGAAAAGGATACAAATCAAGGAAACTATTTTATCTTTTTTTTGCAGTATGAATAATAGGTTGCAGGTGTTATGGCACAGAACATTAAATTGCCACTCCTATCACAGAGCCTTGTTTGAAATAGATTGTAATACCCTTGATAACAGGCTTATAAAGAATAGATAGTTTCTCATCATTTAAAAAACATTTAACAAAGTTGCATGTCTCCATTACTTACATTTACTATATCTCAGATAACTTAAATACAATACATTAAAAAGCTCTGGCAAAACAAAAAAGAGAAAAAAGCATGGGACTACTTTCTCAGTTTCTATTAGGTTGCTTTAGAATTTTTAGAATCAGGGAGTTCTTAGACCAGCAACAGTCTCAGAGCAAATCTAATTCAGCCTTTACACTTACAGAACATTTTGAAAAAACACAAAGAAGTTCACCGACTTAGCCAGATCCCTGGCCAAGATCATTAGATCTTGGAATTAGAATTGGAATCTACTTGTGAAATTCTAATGCACCCATACTGTCAATTTTTTTAAATTTCAGACTAAAACTCATTAATGTGATTGAAGTTTATCTTTGGGTAAATTTTCTGAAATTGTTAGAAACCTGTTTTTCTTTTTAAGATTTATTTATTTTGGGCCAGGGCAATGGCCTAGAGCAGCCAGGACACAAACCAAGGGCCATATGGGATGCTGGCGCTGGCAGGTAGAGAATCGGCCTGTTGAGTCACTGTGCCAGCCCCATTAGGGCTTACAACTAATTTCACATATTAATAAATATGAAAATGGTGAATTTCCTCTTTCAAGTCTTTTAGGAAAAGCTAATCATGTACCACGTCAAGTAACATCAACTCAATGTTTCACAATATCTGCCTTAAAGATAATTTTCAACACACTGTAAAATTTTACCTTTGATTCTTTCTATTAAGTCATACTCAGGTATATTTTACATATCCCAGTCATCAAGAGGGTCCTTAGAAGGCTGGGAGGTAATTTTAAAACAAATTATTCTAAATAACATAAAACTAGATTGGTATATCCATTGAGATACAAAACACAAATCCCTCACCCCAGCCACCCTCAAAAAACACTGGAATTGACCATATTATTGAGACTCTGTATTACTGCCCAAAATGAATGAGTGTTTTGCAAAGTGTCCTAATTTCCCTAAATGCTCACTTTCACTGAAGTACACCTTGGCTAAAAGCATGCAGAAAAGGTGTATACAAAGTGTAGAATATGTACAATAAGCAGAAAAAGGCAAACACAATAGAAATCAGACCATTAGAAGATAAAGGTGAAATTAAGATAGCGAATGTGGAGTAACCGCATGGAGAAATAAGCAAATTTCTAGGAAAGTAAGACCACAGAGTTGGGAGATTAAACTGAGCAAAACATCCTCCTATTTACCCCAGTAACAAATGATACTATTTTAGATTTGATCTCTAAAGTTCTAAATTCCCTTTATTTTATTTTAATTTCCAACCATATTAACTGAAGAACATGTGTGGAAACATCTGTTTGCTCAACAGTTGGAACTTGTTCAAGTTTCATTAGACACTCAGCTGACATCAGGATGAATCCGTAGGCCATTCCTATGAGGACCAAGACAGAGGCAGCTGGTATCAGTAGAATCCCATCACTTAAGAGGATTCACAAGGCAAAGACTAAAGAAATAAACAAGTCAGAAAATAAGGTACAGGTTGTCTGGTCCAGATCTATACTCCCCAGTAACACTAGCCCATCAATCCTTTAAACTTCCCTTTAAGAAAAGGCCACAGTCTCCAACAAAACTATCAGAAACATCTTCATTTCTGACCTTTTTAAATCAAGATAACAACGTGTCGCCTAGTATTCTGATTCATCCAGGGACTTAGCAGAGCCTAAGATAAAAGGCTTGGAGGGTAGCGCTGATTCCGTAGTGTAAAGGGCTCACTACAGAACTTGAGAGTACAGTGGAACCTGAGAATTTCAAAAGATTCTCTCTCCCCAAAGTCAAGCTCATTCTCTACTTTCCCCCAAATGTTGTCTTTCCTCCTCTCCCCACCGTTCTCTGATTCTGCAAAATAACTACCTTCTGAAACAGTTACCACCAGCAACCACATTAACCACATTTGCTCAGTAACATTTAGCAGGTGCAACAAGGAAGTAAAATGTTTCTCATCTCCAGAAGCTGAAAGAGCTCATCTTGCGCCTAATTTGCCATTTAGGGAAAAGCCTACTCCGACGGTGCGAACTTTCTCTTAAGTGTCAGGGCTCCACAGCAGCGGCAGAAAGGCCTAGCTGTGTCTCGCGGCACCGGGGGTCCTGAGCATCAGCCCGGCATGGGTGCATGCACCCTCCTCACCAGGGGACTCCTCCCTCGCCCATCGATCTGCCAGGACCAAGCTGGACCCCGCCTGGGTCTCGGTCCTCTGCCTACCTAGTCTGAAACCCGCCAAGAGCCCCCTTCCCTTAGCAACCCTGAAGAAAGCCAGGGCGCCCTGCAGCTGGTGAGGCGGAGGAGGGGACCCCGCGCCTCAGTCCCGAGCTGAGACCCCTCCCTAGTGCCAGCACACTGTGCAGCCCCGGCCATCCTCTCTGCCCTGGCAGGCCAGGGTAGACCTGAACCTCATCTCTGGAGCCGCCCGGGACCGCAGCCTCGCTGCTCGTCACGCTCCGCGAGCCCCCGGCCTTACCTTGCGGGGTATCGGCTCCCCAGGCTCCGCCCGCTGAAAACCTCCAGCGCACAGACCTGTCTCTCCAGCCCCCAGCCCGCCGCGCGCCCGCCCCCTGGCTGCCATGGCGACAGTCCCCGCCCCCAGGCCGCCGCGGATTGGTCGCGCTCGGGATCGCGGAGGGCGCCGATTGGCAGAAGGAAAGAAGCTGCCCCTCTAGAGAGCCGAGAGGTGGGCGGCGCACGGAGCGAGCTGGAGGAAGCCTCGGGGAGGCTCAGCCAAGAGGGACGTGGCGCTCGGCGAGCGCGTGGTCAGGCCGCGCCTCTTCCTTCCCTGGCTTTGCTGGAGAATCCTGTGGAGCAAGATTTGGGCGGGCGAGGTGCTCCTGGAATGCCTCCTCCCAGCCAGCTCCTGTGGTGAGAGGGGCTACCAGGCCCTCTCACTCCACAGGCCTCGCCCAGGTCCTATTGCTGGACCTGCTCTTTGTCGGGAATCACACGCGTTTGCGACCGCACTCCAACCCCATTTCCCTAGTGGAGTTTGCACCCATCTTCAGACTTCCCATCTTAGTGCTACTTCCTCCCCCAGTACCCAGTACCACGGTGACATCTCCAAACTCCTCACGTTGAAGACAGGGAAACTGAGGAACGAAGATGAGTGTACCTTGAGGCTTCCAGAACCTTTTGGAACCTCAAAATAGGTTTTTTGTTTTGTTTGTTTTGTTTTGTTTGACAGAGCTTTCCTCTGCTGGCTGCATCAGCCATAACTGGGCTGGCCTGATGATGGATGCAGGAGCTCAGGGACTTGAGCTGTCCTTGGCATCTTTTCCAGGGGGTGGAACTGTGGAGGCTTATCCTGCTACCCTGGGGCACGACCCAAAGCAAGTTTCAAAGCTGAACAGGTTAATTAATACCTTTTTTTTTTTTTTGCCTGAAAAAATGGCATTTTTCTCTACCTTTAATGTTCGTTAAGACTAGATAACTTACACTATTTTTTTAAAAAAGAAAAACAGTATAGAATCTGCCACACTAGGTGTTGGTTCAGTCCACAGTTTGGTACCCGTTGGGGGTCAGGGAGGGTTGGTTCTCTTATCAAATCTAGAGATACTCTAATCTCTTACATAAAATGACCTGGAGTTTCATATAATCTACACATATCCCTCCTGGATACTTCTAGTATACTTTACATCACCTCTGGATTGCTTTATGGTGCTGAATACACTGTAACTATTTGTTACATTGCATTAGATCTTACTATGTGGATATTTGTTACCTTGTTTATACTAAACAATCCCAAGGGGGAAGTTTATTCATGCTCAGTAAAGATAACTTTCAAATATCCTCAAGCCACAGCTGGTTGAACCACAGTACTTTTACTCATGGACACTGAAGTGGGCTGGAACAGAAGGTCCCTGACAGCAGGAAGTGGTACTTGCCAGTGGTGAAGTGAACTCATGCTGCCTCAGACTGCCTATCTTGAAAAACTGGACTTCCCTAGCCCTTGACTGTTTGACTTGCATTATGGGGTGCACCACCGAAGCCAATCTGGATTCTGGGAAGTCTTTATTAGCCAGCTGTTGACTGTTCCCACTCAGAACAGGTCTAAAGGAGACAGCCCCAAGCTGTCAGGGCACAGAGCTTTTAAAGGAAAACAAACAAACAAACAAAAAACACATTCTGGTGACCTTTATGCTGGCAAGCAAGCAAGCAAGGATACAAAAGCTACAATAAGAAGGTTAGAGCCAAGAAGAGTAATTCTATAGTTATAGTTGCAGTTTAGCTTCTTGGAAATTGGTTCCACTTTTCATGGGCCTCGGTTCCCAGGACCTACTTCTTCTTAGAGGAAGAGGGCCATTCTAACCCAACTGGTTACCGTTGGAGGCACTCACTCTAATTTTTCACCCTGTCACAACTTGTGGTGAGTGACTGAAATACTCTGCGCTTCTGTTTATTTGCCTGAAATTAGAAATAGTATAATACCCTTCTACATAGAGCAGAATAAATTAATAGAAAAGGGATTGGCACATTGTGTCTTATACATGCTAGCCATGCTCAGGTAAGTGGATGAGATAGGACTGCAACTCTCAAGTTTCTAGATTCCAAGAAGAGTTATCATCATTCATAAACAGACTTAGACCAGCACCTCAAAGTGAGGAAGAGGATACTTGTCCACGTACTTTAAATCCAAATTTCTACCCAGCTACCTTATCAACATCAGAAAAGCTGTCTGACTCTGCCTCCACTAAAGGGTTAATGGAAGAAGGAACTATCAGGAAAATAACCAGCTCTGATGGAGAGATAAAATAGTAAAGGCACTTGAAATCCTGAAGATTATGGTGTAGGAGAGGGACCAGTGCTGTGGTATAGTGCTACTATTCCATGCTACTATTCCATACACTTGCCAGTTCAAGTCCCAGATGCTCTACTTCCAATCCAGTTCCCTGCTAATGCTCTGGGAAACACAATGGAAGACAGCCTCAAGTGTTTGTGACCCTGCCACCTATGTGGGAGACCTGAATGATGCTCCTTGCTTCAGTCTGGCCCGGCGCTGACCATTGTAACCATCTGAGAAGTGAGCCAGCAGATGAAAAATTTCTCTGTAACTCTTTTAAGATAAATAAATCTTAAAAAAAAAAAAAAGAAAAGAAAATGTTAGTGGCATAACCCTTGTTCATATCAAATCATAAGATATCACATCCCAACACTATAGAAAGTTCTAGTGGGGCTTGGTGCAGTGGCCTAGCAGCTAAAGTCCTTGCCTTGAACCCACCAGGATCCCATATGGGCGCTGGTTTTAATCCCGGCAGCTCCACTTCCCATCCAGCTCCCTGCTTGTGGCCTGGGAAAGCAATCGAGGATAGCCCAAAGCCTTGGGACCCTGTACCCATGTGGGAGACCTGGAGGAAGTTCCTGGATCCTGGCTTCAGATCGGTGCAGCACCAGGCGTTGTGCTCACTTGGGGAGAGAATCATTGGACGGAATATCTTCCTCTCTGTCTCTCTTCCTCTCTGTATATCTGACTTTGTAATAAAAATAAATAAATCTTTTTTAAAAAATGAATGGAAAACTGTGTTTGTAGTCCAGGAAAGCAGTGAAGAGTGGCTAAAGTCCTTGGGCCCCTGCTCTCATGTGGGAGACCCAGCAGAAGCTCCTGGTTCCTGGCCTCAGATCGGCCCAACTATGGCTGCTGTGGTCATTTGGGGAGTGAACCAGAAAAACAAAATAAATCTTTAGAAAAAAAGAAAAAACAGCGGCTAATAAACTAATAAAGTCTGTTTAATCATACAGAAAAAGGAATGTTGATAATGAGATCTAGAAATATCCTGTATTCCTAGAGACTCATTAAGAAATATCATCTCGGGCCCGGCGGCGTGGCCCAGCAGCTAAGGTCCTCGCCTTGAACAGGGTAGGATCCTGTATGGGCACCAGTTCTAATCCTAGCAGCTCTACTTCCCATCCAGCTCCCTGCTTGTGGCCTGGGAAAAGCAGTCGAGGACGGCCCAAAATCTTGGGACTCTGCACCTGTGTGGGAAAACTGGAAGTTCCTGGATCCTGGCTTCGGATCTGCACAGCATCAGCCATTGCGCTCACTTGGGGAGTGAGTCATCAGATGGAAGATCTTCCTCTCTGTCTTTCCTCCTCTCTGTATATCTGCCTTTCCAATAAAAATAAAATAAATCTTTAAAAAAGAAATACCGGGCCCGGCGCGGTGGCGCAGTGGTTAAGGTCCTCGCCTTGCACACCCGGGATCCCATATGGGCGCCGGTTCTATCCCAGCAGCCCCACTTCCCTTCCAGCTCCCTGCCTGTGGCCCGGGAAGGCAGTCAAGGATGGCCCAAAGCTTTGGGACCCTGCACCCGCGCGGGAGACCCAGAAGAAGCTCCTGGCTTCGGATAGGCATAGTATTGGCCGTTGCGCTCACTTGGGGAGTGAATCATCGGAGGAAAGATCCTCTCTGTCTCTCCTCTCTGTATATCCACCTTTCCAATAAAAAAAAATAATAAATAAATCTTTAAAAAAAAAGAAAGAAATACTACCTCACCTAAGTAAAACCCAAAACTTACAATGTTAGTACTAATAGAGAGTATACTTGCAGTCACCTCATTGCCCAGGGAAAGAACACTGGGTTTTCAACCAGATAAATCTCACAACTGGACATTTATCACTTATTACTGTGTCTGGCCTTGAATTAGTTAGATCTAACTCTAGGCCAGCTGCATTTTCTGGAAGAGTCAATGTTTAATAAGTGCCAAATGAGGGAACCTTTCCGAGAGATGACATCCTGTGCTTAAGAATATGTACAAGGAAGCTGTTCCGCCTGGATTAAGAACGCAGCACCACCCCTATTAGGCAATATCCTCCAACCAGCAACTTAACCTCCTTCCACCACAACTTCCTCATCTGAAGAATGGAAGTAGTCATAGGTCAGTCTCAGAGAGTTGTTGAAGACTAAATGAATATTTATTTATAAAGTATTAGAGGATGCCTGGTTCATTAACTTTCTTGTTTTGTTTTGAAGAGAGGCAGGTGAAGAAGGAGCTCCCACGTACTGCTTCATTCTCCAAATGCCTGCAACAGCCAGAGCTGGGATCATCTAGGTTCCCCATGTAGGTGGTAAGAAACCAACTACTTGCGCATCATCTGGTGCCTCCCATGCATGACTACATTGCCAGGAAGCTGGACTCGGGAGCCAGGCCTGGGAAATGCACTCAGATAATCCATTGTGGAGACAGGCATCTTAACCTGAATTTTGACTGCAAAGCCCAATATCTTAATGTTTACTACAGTATCAAGGGCAGAGGGTGTGTCTCAGTTCTCTATTAGTAACTTGAGCTCAGAAGAATGAAGTTAATG